TGTGTCCAACATGAGCCTTCAAAGGCTGTGTCCAACATGAGCCTTCAGAGGCATTCTCTCATCAACATGACTTTTTCTTTTATCATGAAGGTCACCTGCCCTAGCAGATGTTGGGAACAGCAGCTTGAGCTATTCAACCCCCAATGATGCCACTTTCAGAAGCATCTACCCCATTGGCTAGAAAAGGCTCATTTGAGCTTGTGCAGCTTTGCATGCTGAACCCACTCAGCTCTTGTGAGTTTCAATCCACAAAAACCAGGGCTCAGACATGAAGCGCAACCATTTTTGTTTCCTCTACAGCGCAAACACCCTTTCAGGTCACTCTTGGCCTGCTTGGGTTCTGCTGGCTTATTTTTGGTCTTCTTGGCATTTGGATCAGCTGTGTTGCTGGCAGGCCTTTTCATAGGTCCTTTCCTTGGGCCTTTGCAAGACTTAGGCTTGCCCTTCTTACCTTCATCCCTTTGTTTCAGCTTTTCCAAATTTTCCATTTCAAACTCTTCCAAGGATTTTCTACCCTTGGCATCACCAGGAGCTGTACCAGTTCCACTGGCAGCCTGCACAGGCAAATGCTCTGCTTCAGCAGGGGATGTCAAAGATTCAGTGCTGGATGCCTTTTCAACAGCAGATGAGCATTGCTTGCCTTCCAATATCTTGCTGGCAGCTGTTTCAAAGCGATTGACCAGCTGGCAAATGAGACTTTCAGGCATTGAGCTTTGTGTGGATCCACAAGCTGAAGCATCATGTGTTGCCTTGGCAACATGCCTGCCTTTGTTGTCCTTAGATGAAGGCTGCATGGATGATTCAACAAATGCCTTACTTATAAAGAAAAAACAAAAACATATAGCAATAAGTTCACTCAAGCTTCTTTGGCACTGAGAGCAGCAGCAGTGTTTCTTACCCAGCAATGCTTTTGAATAATCACAGCCAACTGTGGAAAATCCTTTTTGGCAGGCTTGTCTGATGGATAGGCTGCCTGGAAGTGCTGAGTTTCCAAATGACAAGGGTCCTCGGGGTAACTTGCTAGGCACAAAGACTTGTCTGGCACCTGCACAGGTGCAGATTGAAGGCAATCAAGCAAATGCCTGGCCAGTGAGTAGACCAGTTCAGCACAAGGCATCTTCTTTGACCTTTGGTTCTCATGCCAGACAAGTATGCCCAAAGCACATTTCTTCAATGACTCCTTCATGCCACAAATGCCAAGTGCTTTCATGCGCTTGGCAAGCACATGGCAACCTTCCCACATAGAGCTCTTCTCCAGCTCATCCAGGTCAGTGGAAGTCAAATATTTGTAGAAGGTTTTGCATTCCTGGCCAGATGATGCCAACACCTTGGATTGAGGTTGGTCACATTGGATTGCCAAGTCATCAAAAGCTTTCAGCAGCTCTGTGTTCAACTTGTCTGGAAGATTGGCTGCCTGCAAGGTCTCATAACAAGCAACTAGCTCAGAGCTAGTCAGGCCACTCATGTTCCCAAGCTTTCTCTTCAAAGCTTCACAGAGCTTACTTCCAAGCTCATGAACCCCAGGCCTTGCTCTCAGCAAATTGCCCATTGCCAAGAGCTCTTGCCTGATATCACCAGGCAACCAAGACATTGGCCAAAAACACAACCTTTTCCACTACTTTTTGACCCAGATGCAAAGCTGCAGCTTGTTCTATACACATCAAATGTAACATAGATAGCCTTGATTGGCTACACTGGAACCATTGAGCCTGTAATGGCATCATTTTGATCAATGAGCTTGCACAAGCTATGCTTTATGCTGCAATATTGTTTTTGATGAAAAAGCTGGCAGTGAATGCAAATATTAATTAGGTGACATCCAAAGCACATGAAAAATGTAGCTGTGCATTCAAAAATGCAAAGCATTAATCAGCATGTTGCCACACATACTTGCAGTGGCATAAAGAAAGATATCTAATTCATCTCAAGCCCTGCTTCATCAGCAGTTCTCTTTCTGGTAGCTCCATGTGGTTGGGCATCAAGTGGTGGATCATCTGGAATGTGGAAGTAATGCCTCCACTTCTGACATTGCAAAGCCCACCATGTTGGCATACCATCTTCGAAGACAATGACTTGAGCATCTTCATCACCATCCAGCCAAACATCACCAATAACAAATGGATTTGCAGATGTCACCATTGTGTTGGTAGACAAAGTGCATGCCATGGCTCGAGAACACTGTCTGGAAATATGTACAAACATAAGACAATATCAATGAAAATTCATTTATTATTGTTTATCATATTAGATAAAATCAGAAAATATTGAACTAATCAATTAAAATTTTTAAATTGATAAATTAAATTTTAAGTTTTCAATTTAAAATTTTAAATTGAAAAATTGGATTTTTGATTTTCAAGTCAAAATTTTAAATTGAAAATCTTGATTTTTGATTTTCAATTTAAAATACTAAATTGAAAATCAAAATCCTTAATTTTCAATTTAGAATTTTAAATTGACAATAAAAATCGTTGTTTTTTGAGATTTGATTTATATATGATGTTTGCCACCTGAGCATGTGAACATTGAGCCCAAAACTTCTATTGTTATATACTTTTCTTTGGTTTCATAAGCTTTCATAAGCTAAGCTATGAGCCTGCACAGGCTAAAGATCTTTGAGCTTGTAAAAGCTATAACTATTTTTCTGCTTGCCATAGAGCTTTGTGCTGTCACAGGTGGCCAGTGAGTGAAACTAAATGTATTTCCTGTACACTGAAACACCTCCCTTATGATAGGCTCTTGACAACTTTGCAAGTGGTTTCTCCAAAGCATGATGCTCTGACAGCTTGTCCAGGTAGAAGTTCAGATTGGCAGTGTTGCCCTTGAGATGCATGTGGACTAGGGCAAGTGCTTTGTTTTGCCAACCAGTCTGCTTGTACTCATCAGGATCCGGCAATACCACAAAACACTACATCAAATACCAATGGATCAAAATCTTTTGGTGCTCATAAAACCAAATCCATAAGGCTCACAAAACAACAAAACAATACTAAAAGACAAGGTGCACTTTGGTCCCTCCATCTGCGCCAAGACTCGTGATCCTTCTTGAACCACCACAACTTGTCATCATAGCCATCTCTCTCCCACCATGTTCCATATTCATCATAGCCACAAGTCATATCACACCATGACTGTCCACTGGAAGAGCCTGCTGCAGTCGAATCATTGATTGCCTCTGTCAAAGGATCCACCTTTGTCGCTGGTTCATTTGGCTTCTCAGCACCCTGAGGCTGCACTGTAGGTTTAGGACGATGCTGGGATCCTTGAGGCTTCACTTCTGGTACAGCTGGCTCAGCAGGTTGTGGTGCTGCCTGGGACTTAACTGGTTCAGCTGCTTCAGGAGGTTGCTGTGTACCTTGAGGCTTCGATGGTCCAGGATCAGCAGGCTTGACTGGTGAAGATTCCATAGCCTGTGCATGTGGGCCAAGGTTAACCTTGTACAAAAACAATGTGAGCATGCTAGGCACACAAGCACCTTTCATAAACAAAAAATAAAAATGTATGTGATCACATTTAATCAAAGAACAGTTTCCATCCCAACTGGTTTGGGAAGGCTTGTTTTCATTCTCTTCTTTGGCTTGGGTTGCATGGATTCCTCTGTATCTTCTGGCTCATGCTTTGGTGCCACCGGTTCTTCTGGTAGTCGCACTCCATCTGGTGAAGGCGGTTCCTCAATGAAAAAATTCTTCAATGTGTTTTGTAAGCATGGAATTGCTTGAGTGCAAATATCATCAGCCTGTAATGGCTTAATTGCATTAGCTTGTAGTAGCCTGATTGCAGCAGCCTGTAGTGGCTTAAAGACATCAGCCTGTAATGGCTTTATTGCATGAGCCTGTATTGGCTGTCTGAAATAAACAGTTTTGTTTGGTTAGTTTGCTAAGCCCTGGACTGTGTCTCCTCCCCAGTCAGGTGACCAAGTGTCCCAGTACTGCTCGGTCTTCATTGGTGCCTCCTGCAGACAACACACACACTTGCACTTTGCTTGGTTATGTAGTAAACAGTCAGATGGCTTCAGTCAAGGCTTTGTCACAAATGAACAATTGAAAAACACAACTCTAAATATAGCAATGCAAGACACTCCTGGTGAGAGTGCTTTGGTGGCACACTGATCCCCTCCTGGTCAGCTGCCTTGGATGAGGCATGTATTGCTATGTTGGCTGAAACTAGCAAACTTGTTTGGAGAATTAAAAAGCCAGGATACAAACAGAACATTGGCTCGCTCTTGAAACACCTGGCACAAGGCCTGCCAGGTTAGTGCTGCCTCCATCTTGGCAGACATTGAGCAAAAACTGCTGCAAAAGCAACAGCTGGATCCTATATACAATATATGTGAAGCCTTCATTGGCTGTGAACTTAATGGCATTATCACTGGGCATGAGCCTGCATAGGCCAAGCATGAGCCTGTATAGGCCAAGCATGAGCCTGCATAGGCCAAGCATGAGCCTGCATAGGCTAAGCATGGGCCTGCATTGGCCAAAAGCATCAGCTTGCATAGGCTAAACATACACACATGTAGCTTGTTTTTTCACTTAGGCCAGCTGTCCAGCTCAGTCATTCTGAACTGTCATCATCTTTGTCTACTCTGGCTTTTTTGCTAAAGTTGCCAGACTTAGTGTAATTTCGCCTCTTCTGGCTCAGACAATTTCCAATGTCTTGCATGATCCAATCACATACCAATGTCAAAGGGCCAGGCTCCAAAGGTACAAGTATCACCTCCTTCCAGCTGCTTGGTGTCTTGAAGGTCACACAAGCATCACCCAGCATGACATCCACTGTGTCAGGGGCTGTACGCAACATCTTTTTTTTGGTTGGCTTGCCCTTTTCTAGGGAGGTGGAAGCTTGCTCATGATCATCTTCAAAAATGTTTGTTTCTCCTTCATCATGCTTGGAAACTGCTGCCTTGATCATGTCCTGAATTGCTTTCACCTGTGGTGATGCAGCAAGTGAAGGATTCTTGACACTTTTGTATTCTTTCAAGTGACCAAGCACACATTTGGTCAATGTGTGGCTGCTAGCCTTGAATTTGAGCCATTTTTTTTGGTTTTCATCTATATGGATGAGGCTCTCACTAAGCATCACTTGAGGCCCACCTCTGTATGTCAAGCAGGTGACATCAGAGACCTGCATTGCTCAACAGCTGGTCAAGCTACTTCTAACCTTGGGAGGCAAAGCAGCAGGAGATTAGAGATTGAATTTGTTTGCTTATTCTTATAGCAATAAGCTTGAAGAACCAGCCTCTAAAGGCTGCCAGTTTCACAAATGAACTTGCACTAGTTCATTGGCATTTGACCTAGCAATAGCCTGTATAGGCAATCCCTTTTTGGCTTCAGCCTTGCAAAGTCAAAATGCAATCTATAGCACAAATCACTTCTACTTCACTACCTTCCTTTTCTTGGAGGCAGTGGTGTCAGGCTCTGGAGGATCCAGAAACAACCGAGTGCCCTTCTCCACCTGCTTCTTGTTCACATAACATGGAATCTGCAAACTCCCATGCTTCACCATCTGCTTTGCCATAGTGCCCTCCTCATCATTTGTAGCTTGCTTCACAAACCAGAAAGGGCTGAAGATCCCAGTCTCCTTGGTAAAGTCGCACTTGAAGGCATGAATCACATAGACATGATGGCTGCCCAAGTTGCCACACTTTATGTAGACTTGGCCCTTCATGAGCTTACTCTCCTCCACCAATTGCAAGCTGCCCATTGGAAGCAAACATAGCTTTCCTTTGGCAACCTTTTGACTTGCAAACACTTGGCCCTGGTTGGAGACCAGAACACTTGGATCGCCCAGCCTGAGCTCCAATCCCCAGAGGTTCAAACACTTTGGGAAAACAAACACATACAGACAAAAAACTTAACATACTTGCCAGAAACTCTTTGCATTTCTCATAGATTTCCCACTGTGCTTGAGCTCTGGCCATCTCATCATCCAAGCCCTTGGAGGAACAAGGTAGCAAAGCACCACTGACTTCATGAGAAACCAGCTCAGGCTCAGGTTTCTTGTATTCTTTCCAATCATTCCAATCACTGTGCAACACAGTGATCTCTTCAGCTGCTCTGAAGAAGGGCTTGTGGACAAACTTGGCACCACCATCGATGAAGCCAGTGAGCTTCCACACCTTGGTTTCCTCCTTCTCTTTCTTGTGCACATAGAGCTTCCCCAGCTGAATGTGCTTGTGCGCTGCCAAAGCAATGGCTTGTGTATCTTTGGCATCCATCAAAGACTTGACACTTTGTGAGGACACAGCCTTGGCTTCAGGTGCAGAGACAGCTGCAGTCTCCTTGTCAGCCTGCAACAAGTCATCCTCAAACCGGTTCTTGATATCTTCAAAAGATTCATACTTGGTTCCTTCCCTTCCCTTGACTTCCTTGTCCAGGAGGTGGAGGACCAATCGTATCTGAAATTTGCCAAAGACTTTGGCAGTCTTTGCCATGGGGAAGCCAGATTTCTCCACAGCCTCCCAGGCTGCACACATCAGCTGCTCTGCCTGCTCCAACTTAGGCAGGTGTTTTTTTTGCTTCAACTTGTCAAAATCTCCTTTGGTGATCATTCTGGAGAATCCATCCTTGCACTGCTGCTTGGGTGCTGTGATTTGAGCTGCACACATGGCAACTCTCATGAATGGCAGTGTTGTGGTTGGCAGCTTCCAGTCTGTATAGGCCACAAGGCTACAGAATTCTTCTCCAAGCATCACAGAGGCTCCATATGATCGTCCTCAGCATGGAGAAAGGCAAGGGGATAATGTTCAAAGGCATGCATTCAATGAGCCTGCACAGGCTGCAATGTGTTTTCACTTGTCATCATGGGCCTGTATGGCCAAGCCTGCACAGGCCTATATGTAATGGTTGAATGGTTGAATGCCTGTAATGGCTGAAAGTTGGATATTGCAGTATGCAACAAAGAAGCAAATGCAATCGAGAATCCAATCAAGTCCAAGTACTTGAGTAGTTTGAAGTCCTCTCCTCCTGCATAGCTTGCAACAAAATCGCCGATGGTCTTTATGTAAGGCTTGCAGGGTGGACAGCTAGCAGCTGCCTGACCAATTGCCTTCTTGAGGTCCTTGCTGCCAGCAGCTTGGAAACCATATGTATGAGCTATTGTCATCATTACCTCCAACTCACTTGGAGGTTTGCCAATGGAAAGATCGCCTGATGTTTCCCAACTCAGCAGATTGGCATTGAAACCACATGAACCATACATCTATGTAGAGAACAAAATGCCAATATATAAACAAACTCACAGCTTTAATTGAAAAGGTGCACATACTTGTATGGCTGGCAATACATCCCAAAACTCCAAAGCTTTGAGGAAAACATGAAAATTTGTTGGTGTATACCAGTGGCTGTTGTATGCCTGCTGTAGCATGGTTGCTAAATTGGGGACTTCCTCATCAACCTTGCAACTGATAATGGTCCACTGCCATCCTTGAAACATCATTTTTCCCAGGTCGTCACCCTTGGCCACCAGCTGTTCAACTGAAGCTTTGCCAGGCATGACCTCACATCCTGCTTCTAGGCTGCGCAAGAAACAGGTTGTGTGGCTGGAGGATAAAGAGCAAAATCTTTCTTGCCCAAAAGGTCTGCATAATATGCCATCGGATTGTTCTGCCAGGGTCAAGTTGGCCTTGACAATGGTTTGTCTCTTGGCCTGGTCCACAGGAAGTTCCATTGCCACAGATTGTCTCACTTTTTGTAAGTCCCACCCTAGCTCTGAGATAGCCTGCCCCTTGGAGGCTACATCATAACCGTTGACCATGGCACCACCTCGGTTTGAGGTGTGAACTAGGACATCCTTTGGCCTCACTGTGGCCTCGTAAGCAAGACCATTCTCTTTGAGAAGTGCCAAAGCTTTAGCAGCTTTCATGTTGATGGGGTCAGCAGACTCCATCACAGCATGCAATTGCTTTACCCATGGCAAAGACATTGCAAGTGTTCAAGGAACTTTGTTCAAGTATTGCATCATGTTTTGTGACTGCACAAATGGCCATGTCCATTGACCTTTTGACAATGCCATGAAAGCATCACATGGCCTCATGGCCTCACACGGCCTCATGGCCTCATCACACCTTGAAAGTGTGCAGCTGCATGGAATTCATGTACATGCAAGCTGCTCGAAAGGAAGCCTGTACTGGCAATAGCAATTGAAAGCCTGTATTGGCTGACAATGCCTGTATTGGCTGACATGCAAACTTGTTGTTTTGTGTTCCAAAGAACAATAAATATATATTGTTTTTTATAAAATCTTCACACACAAAACTAACAAAATTGTTGTTTTAGAAATTGAAAGCAACATATCTAACCTTTAGTAATTCATCTAATTTTTTAAGATTGTTAAACATGTTAGCCTAACAGTTAAAAAAGATAGATAACTATCTTAAAAAAATATAACTACTTAACAACATTATAACTAGTTATAACTGGTTATAACTCATTGCTAGAGTGTTACTAAAGTGTTATTAAGTAGTAAGTAACTAGTGTAACACTGATAACACATTAGTAAAACCAGCAGCTTCAAAGCTTTGTAGTACAACTTTAGTACGCGGAGTATCTGGGGAGCTGGAAGATGACAACTGGCGACTTTGTAGTGCAACTTTAGTACGCGGAGTATCTGGGGAGCTGGAAGATGAGAACTGGCGACTTTGTAGTACAACTTTAGTACACGGAGTATCTGGGAAGCTGGAAGATGAGAACTGGCGACTTTGTAGTACAACTTTAGTACGCGGAGCAATCTGTGGAGCTGGAAGCTGAGAACTGGCGACTTTGTAGTACAACTTTAGTACGCGGAGTATCTGCGGAGCTGGAAGATGAGAGAACTGGCGACTTTGTAGTACAACTTTAGTACGCGGAGTATCTGGGGAGCTGGAAGATGAGAACTGGCGACTTTGTAGTACAACTTTAGTACACGGAGCAATCTGTGGAGCTGGAAGCTGAGAACTGGCGACTTTGTAGTACAACTTTAGTACGCGGAGTATCTGGGGAGCTGGAAGATGAGAACTGGCGACTATGTAGTACAACTTTAGTGCGCGGAGTATCTGGGGAGCTGGAAGATGAGAACTGGCGACTTTGTAGTACAACTTTAGTACGCGGAGTAATCTGTGGAGCTGGAAGCTGGGAACTGGCGACTTTGTAGTACAACTTGAGCACGCGGAGTCTCTGGGGAGCTGGAAGATGAGAACTGGCAACTTTCTAGTACAACTTTAGTACACGGAGCAATCTGTGGAGCTGGAAGCTGGGAACTGGCGACTTTGTAGTACAACTTTAGTACGCGGAGTATCTGGGGAGCTGGAAGATGAGAACTGGCGAAGTTGTAGTACAACTTTAGTACGCGGAGCATATGGGGAGCTGGAAGATGAGAACTGGTGACTTTGTAGTACAACTGTAGTACGTGGAGCAGTCTGTGGAGCTGGAACCTGAGAACTGGCGACTTTGTAGTACAACTTTAGTACGCGGAGTATCTGGAGAGCTGGATGAGAACTGGCGACTTTGTCGTACAACTTTAGTACGCGGAGTATCTGGGGAGCTGGAAGATGAGAAC